ACTTTTATTAAAGAGAGAGTAATAAATAAAAAGAGTATTTACTATAGAATTCATCTATATATAATTATATATTTTTTTAATTTAAAAATTATAAGTTAATAATTTTATATACGCGAGGAATAATAATAATATATTTTATAATTAATCTTAGAAGAATAATTCTATATCGTAAAATCTCTATATTTATATTTCTTAATTATATAATAAGATTTATAATTATAAGAGTCGATATACGTTATTTTCGCTTATAGAGACTAATAAACTCTTTACTAAAACTTTTAAATTATTATAAAAATAAAAAGTAATCTCTACTTATAAGATTATTTAATTATATTAAATAATCTAACTAATAACTTCGAATTATTATTTAATAATATACTTATCTCTTATTCTTTCTTTTTATTTATTTATTTTAGAACAAGTAAAGGCCCATGAATTAAATTCATGGAGTTGGATTTTTCTAAGTCAAATCGACTTTTAGCCCTAGCCCTAAGTCAAATCGAACTCTAATCGCTTGCTGTGCGTTTTTGACCTACTTCCACCACTACAAAATTGATTTAATCTATATAATATACAGGCACATATGTGCGGAGAGAGGCGCGCTAAGGCCTAATTAGGAATGTGTATCGAGTGTAGAGGATTGAACAGAGAAAGGCCATATCCTTATGGCAAGAAGTATCGAAATACCGGAAAGAAATGGAGACAACGTGCCAATTAGTGGTGTAAATCCCACAATATCTCCTGCCGTAGTGAAATCTTTCGAATAATGAGATAGCTGTAGACATCGGACGGTTTCAATTCGTCCAAATATGCATCGTCCGATGTCCCTCCTGCAGAGGCCCAATTGACTGTGATCGTCGCAGTAGATCCTCCTCTTGTGACGTCATTGTAGTGATGTACCATATCAATGCAGTGGGGATGACAGGCCAAGTTGCAGTGGTGTTCTCCGCTTGCTGAGTGATGATTTGACGTGGGATCTTGGAGAGCTGAGCCGTGTTCTTGACGATGGTGGCCTTGTTGCCGCTTGGTTTCTCCGCAGTGTTCTCCGTAGTGTTCTCCGCAGTGTTCTCCGCAGTGTTCTCCGTAGTGTTCTCCGCAGTGTTCTCCGCATTTGCCTGTTATAGTTTCTTCTCTTGCGATGTTCCTCCTGTAGAGGCCTAATTGACTATGATCGTCGCAGTAGATCCTCCTCTTATGACGTTATTGTAGTGATGTACCATATCAATGTAGTGGGGATGATAGGCCAAGTTGTAGTGGTGTTCTCCGCTTGCTGAGTGATGATTTGATGTGGAACCGTGGAGAGCATATGACGTGGGATCTTAGAGAGCTGAGCTGTGTTCTTGGTGCTGGGGGCCTTGTTGCCGCTTGGTTTCTCCGCAGTGTTCTCCGCATTTGCCTGTTGTAGTTCCTCCTCTTGCTCCTCCTCTTGTAGAGTATCAGACTGAGTGGCTAGCTGAGTGGCTGACTGAGTGGATGAATAATATAACGTGGGATCTTGGAGAGCTGAGCCGTGTTCTTGACGATGGTGGCCTTGTTGCCGCTTGGTTTCTCCGCAGTGTTCTCCGCATTTGCCTGTTGTAGTTCCTCCTCTTGCTCCACCTCTTGTAGAGTATTAGACTGAGTGGCTAGCTGAGTGGCTGACTGAGTGGATGACTGATATGACGTGGGATCTTGGAGAGCTGAGCCGTGTTCTTGACGATGGTGGCCTTATTGCCGCTTGGTTTCTCCGCAGTGTTCTCCGCATTTGCCTGTTGTAGTTCCTCCTCTTACTCCTTAATGCAGTGGGGATGATAGGCCAAGTTATAGTGGTGTTCTCCGCTTACTGAGTAATGATTTGATGTGGAATCGTGGAGAGTATATGACGTCCGGACGCGTTTGATGTGATTACAATATTTGAATATTAGTTTAACCCACCTATCGCTAGCTTGAGAGGAGTATATAGGGGAAGATATATTCGTTTAAACTCTTTTTGAGGGTCTTTTAATGCGTTTATGAGTAGTAGTAGATAGCTGTTAGGCTCACTTGCGGCCTCGATTGCCAGTAGTAGCGAATTCATCGAGGGGTAACCTGAGGGCGTTAGTAAGGGGCTCTAATTAGGCGAGGGGTACCGAAGACGATTATATTTATATTAGTGGAATTGATAGAATTAATAGAATTAATAGAATAGTAGAAGAATAACAAATAGGTGAAAGGATTATTATTCGATCCCGGACGCGTCTAATATAACTACTATAACTATTATATTTAAATATCTATTTAATTCACTAATAGTAGACTAAACTTCATTATTTTTACAGCGTTAGAAAGCGTAAAGCGAGCTCTACAATTTAAGGAATTATAAAGTAACTATATATATCGTAAGCTAAGTACTTCAAAGTGTAAAACTTCTATATACAAATTTTTAATAAGGGAGCTCGAGAGGGCTATCGGGCTGACTTAGCCGGTCTAACTAAAAAGCGTATAGAACTCGAATTTATAATTGGCTGCACATACAAATTCAAGGTTTTCAAGCTCAGCCCTACCTTATTCTTTTATATATACTAATTATAAGATAGATAGAATTATTTAATATTTTCTTCTCTATTAAATCTTTCTATTATAAGATTATACTCTTATCGTTATTAATAATACTTTTTTATTTTTAATTATCTAGACTTAATTATATAGCTAATATAGATATATACTTTTCCTTTAGAGTATTAAATTAAAAAATTATATATATTAATATCTAATAATACTACGATATAGTCGATTTTATTATTTATAGAAATATATATCTTTAATCTCTTATAATATCTTTTTCTATTTTTTTAAATTTATACTTTTAAATCTATTTATATTTTTAACTTTATCTTTCGTAGTTAATATTATATTAAAATTAATATTATATATTTTTCGTAATTAAGCTTTAAGTAAGTTATATACTTTAAAAATTATCGTATATTAATAAAATTTAATAATATAAAAATTCTATAAGAGCTCTTTTATTACTTTACGCTTATAATTTTTAATATTAATTAAATAATTATAAGATCTTAATAGCGATAAAAATAAGAAGAATTTAATTAAAAGATTATTATTACGAAGTATTCGCTAAAGATTATTTATATCGTCTACTTCTATATATATAATTAAAATTATAAATTTAATTTTACTTTATAATAATAAAGAATCTTATTTTTAATTTTTAATAATAGATTATTTATAATTCTATTATTATTTATCTTCTCGCTATATAAAATTACTATTACGTTAGTTTTATAGTATATATATTTACTAGACTTATAAACGATAATATTTAAAAGATACTCTATAAAAAAAAATAGGATATAACTTTTAAATATCTTTCTAATTATTTTTCTAATTATTATAATATTATAATAAAAAAAAAAAAAAAAAAAAAGGAAAGAAGTAGTATATAAAAAGCTTATTATTCTTATCTTAATTTATAGCGCTCGCGTAAAATTTGAGATAATAATTAATATTATAAAATTATAAAAATTTTAAATAAAGAAGAATAAAATAGATATAATAAAAAACTTAAAAAAGAATTTAAGTTTAAATTTAAAGAAAAGTTCGCGAGCTTAATTATACGCTAATAAGTTAATTAATAATTAATAATTAATTCTATTAATATATATAATAGAATAAGATAGAATTAAGTTTAAAAATTTTAAATTTATATATATAGCTAATTATAAATTAAAAGTTATTACGCTTTTTAATTAGATTAATTAAATTATCGTAAATAAATAAATTAATATTCGTAATTATAAAAAAAATATAGTTGAATAGCTCTAATTAAAAAATAGATATATATTATTTAATTTTAGAATAACTTTTTTATTTTCTATTAAAATTTTAAGATTTTTTTTTCAAATTATAGAATAAAATAAGTGCTTTTAGAAAAAAAAGAATCTTTAAATTTAGTCTTATAATTATTAAAGCGTAAGAAATTTAAATATCGCTTATTAAAGTTCGCTCGACAGTTAGATAATTCGCTTATTAAAATTCGCTTATTAAAGATCGCTTATCTATTTACTCGATAGCTCTAATTAAAAAAATAATTATAAATTTAATTTATAAATCTTTACTCGTAAAAAATATAATATCTTATAAATTTTAATAGAATCTTTTATTTTTTAAGATAATAATAGAAATCTATTATTAAATATAATACTTATTAATTAAATAAGAAAATAAGATATTTAAACTATATTTATAATACTTATAATTTTATAATATTAGATTCTTTTTATAATTTAATAGAATATAATTTTTAATATAATATAATTTTCTAAAAGTATAAATTAAATACTTTATATAGTATTAATTATAAAGATAATTAGAATTCTAAATCGAATATAAATCTAAGATTAATATAATAAATAAATATCTAATAGATTTTAATTAAAATCTTTTATTTTCTAAGATAATAATAAGAATCTATTATATAAATATAGTATTTATTAATTAAATAAGTAAGTATAATAAATATACTTTTATATTAAAACTATTATTATAATATAGATAATTTTATAATAATAATTTATTTTAAATTTTAATCAGTATATATAAAAGAATAAGGTAGGGCTGAGCTTGAAAACCTTGAATTTGTATGTGCAGCCAATCATCAATTCGGGGTTATTACGCCTTTTAGCTAGACTGACTAAGTCAGCCCGCTAGCCCTCCCGAGCTCCCTCATCAAAAATTTGTGTGTAGAAGTTTTACACTCTGAAATAACCAGCTCCCTACGGATGCTGTTTTTTCATAATTTCGTAAATTGTAGAACTCGGTATGCGCTTTCTAACGCTGTAAAAATAATGAAGTTTGGCCTACTATTGGTGGATTAAATGGATATTCAAATATGGTAGTCATGGTAGTCACACCAGACGCGTCCGGGATCGGATAATAATCCTTCCACCTGTTTGTTATTCTTCCACCATTCTACCAATTCTATCAATTCTACCAATTCTACCAATTCTACCAATTCCACCAATATGAACACAATCGTCTTCGGTACCCCTCGCCCAATTAGAGCCCCTTACTGACGCCCCCAGGCCACCCCTCGGCGAATCCGCTACTGCTGGCAATCGAGGCCGCAAGCGAGCCCAACAGCTACCTACTACTACTCATAAACGCGTCGGTACCCTCGCACTCAGTTGAACAAGAGGAGGATCTACAACAGGCGAATGCGGAGAACACTACGGAGACAGTCATCAGCAGCAGTGACACAACAGGCCTACTCTCCACGATCTCACACCAATCCACTCAGCCAGTGCAAGAGAAGTCAATACAGCAGGCGAATACGGAGAACACTGCGGAGAAACCAAGCGGCAACAAGGCCCCCAGCACCAAGAACACGGCTCAGCTCTCCAAGATCCCACGTCATATGCTCTCCACGGTTCCACATCAAATCATCACTTAGCAAGCGGAGAACACCACTACAACTTAACCTATTATCCCCACTACATTAAGAAGTAAGAGAAGGAACTACAACAGGCAAATGCGGAGAACACTGCGGAGAAACCAAGCGGCAACAAGGCCCCCAGCACCAAGAACAGGCTCAGCTCTCCAAGATCCCACGTCATATGCTCTCCACGATTCCACATCAAATCATCACTCAGCAAGCGGAGAACACCACTGTAACTTGGCCTATCATCCCCACTGCATTGAGGAGTAAGAGGAGGAACTACAACAGGCAAATGCGGAGAACACTACGGAGAAACCAAGCGGCAACAAGGCCACCATCGTCAAGAACACGGCTCAGCTCTCCAAGATCCCACGTCATATGCTCTCCACGGTTCCACATCAAATCATCACTCAGCAAGCGGAGAACACCACTGCAACTTAGCCGTTCCACATCAAATCATCACTCAGCAAGCGGAGAACACCACTGCAACTTGGCCTGTCATCCCCACTACATTGAGGAGCAAGAGGAGGAACTACAACAGGCAAATGCGGAGAACACTGCGGAGAAACCAAGCGGCAACAAGGCCCCCAGCACCAAGAACACGGCTCAGCTCTCCAAGATCCCACGTTATATGCTCTCCACGGTTCCACATCAAATCATCACTCAGCAAGCGGAGAACACCACTGCAACTTAGCCTGTCATCCCCACTACATTAAGGAGTAAGAGGAGGAACTACAACAGGCAAATGCGGAGAACACTGCGGAGAACAATGCGGAGAACACTGCGGAGAACACTATGGAGAATACTGCGGAGAAACCAAGCGACAACAAGGCCACCATCGTCAAGAACACGGCTCAGCTCTCCAAGATCCCACGTCATATCAGTTATCCACTCAGTCAGCCACTCAGCTAGCCACTCAGTCTGATACTCTACAAGAGGAGAAGCAAGAGGAGGAACTACAACAGGCAAATGCGGAGAACACTGCGGAGAAATCAAGCGGCAACAAGGCCACCATCGTCAAGAACACGGCTCAGCTCTCCAAGATCCCACGTCATATCAGTTATCCACTCAGTCAGCCACTCAGCTAGCCACTCAGTCTAATACTCTACAAGAGGAGGAGTAAGAGGAGGAACTACAATAGGCAAATGCGGAGAACACTGCGGAGAAACCAAGCGGCAACAAGGCCACCATCGTCAAGAACACGGCTCAGCTCTCCAAGATCCCACGTCATATTAGTCATCCACTCAGTCAGCCACTCAGCTAGCCACTCAGTCTGATACTCTACAAGAGGAGGAGCAAGAGAAGGAACTACAACAGGCAAATGCGGAGAACACTGCGGAGAAACCAAGCGGCAACAAGGCCACCATCGTCAAGAACACGGCTCAGCTCTCCAAGATCCCACGTCATATACTCTCCACGGTTCCACATCAAATCATCACTCAGCAAGCGGAGAACACCACTGCAACTTGGCCTGTCATCCCCACTGCATTAATATAGTACATCACTACGGCCTCTACAGGAGGAACATCGGACGATGCATATTTGGACGAATTGAAACCGTCCGATGTCTACAGCTATTTCATTATTCGAAAGATTTCACTGCGGCAGGAGATATTATGGGATTCACACCACTAACTAGCACGTTGTCTCCATTTCTTTCCGGTATTTCGATACTTCTTACCATAAGGACATAGCCTTTCTCTGTTTTTTATAGGCAATTATTACGGATTAATCCTTCACTTAATATACTTCCTAATTAGGCCTTAGCGCGCCTCTCTCCGCACATATATGCCTATATACCACATAGATTAAATCAATTTTATAGTGGTGGAAGTAGGTCAAAAACGCACAGCAAGCGATCAGAGTTCGATTTGACTTAGGGCTAGGGCTAAAATTCGATTTGACTTAGAAAAATCCAACTCCATTTAACTTAGAAAAATGAAAAATTCAACTCCATGAATTTAATTCATAGGCCTTTACTTATATAATATAATTTTTAGAATTATAAATTAATAATTTTATATAATATTAATTATAAAGATAATTAGAATTCTAAGTCGAGAATTAATATAATAATTAAATATATATAAACTTTAATAAAATCTTTTATTTTTTAAGATAATAATAAAAATCTATAAAAATATATAATTATTAATAATTAGATAAGAAAATATAATATATATTTATATTAAAACTATAATTATAATATAAATAATTTTATAATAATAAAAATTATTAATTCTTTAATATAATATAAATCTTTTAAATTATAAATTAAATATATTATTATATAATATTAATTTTAAAGATAATTATAATTTAAAGTAGAATATACTCTTATAAGTAATATAATAATTAAAAATTATATTATAAATTAAGAAAGTCGATAATTTAATTATAAAGTTTTTTATTTTATTATTTATAATAATTTAAAAGTCTATCTAAATTAAATTATAAGCTTTTAATCTATCTTTATATTTATATATAATTTAATATTAAATAATTTTAAAAGCTTATATAAAAGTAATATATTCTTAATCTATAATATTACGTATTTATTATAAATTGCTAATAAATAAATATCTATATTCTATTATTAGCGAATTTCATATAAGAATAATAAAAAGTCTTACTTGAAAAATTATTAGATAGAAAAGATTTTATTATCTTCTATATCGCCTCGATAATAGAACTTTATTAACGATATTTAATATTATTTCTAACTCTATCTATTATATCTAACGAAATTTCTTAAATAAGTCTTTAAAATAAAGCTTTCGAAATTAATAGCGTAGTTAACTTCTAGAAATATTTAATTTCGCGAAAGACGATAGCTAGTAAATTATAATTAGAAAAATAATTAGAAATATATATAAAGCTAAATTTATTATCTAGATAAAATCTATATAATTTTCTTACTTTAAATATATAACTAGCGATATTTTTTCTCTTACTCGTATTCTTCTCGCTTATAATAGATTTTCTAGAAGTCTTATTACTTAACTTTCTAGCTACTTTTATTATTAATAATATTTAAAATATTATTTTATCTATTATAGCCGCCGTAAAAAATATATTAAATCTTCTCTTTCTAAGTTTTTTATTATATTTTTTTTTTTTTAATAATTTACGCGTAGATAGACGTTCTTTAACTATTATAATTTTAATATTTTTATTATATATATTATTAAAATTTCTATCTTTATAAATAATATCTCGAGATTAAAAGATAGTTTAATCTTAAAATAGAGTTACGTTATTATCGCTAAATATATCGTTATCGAATATATATATTAACTCTTTATTCTTTTTAATATATTTATAAATTTATTTAATTTAAAAAGTTAGATAATTATAATAATAATTAGAAAAGAGAAAATTATATTTAAATTTTTTTTTATTATAATAATTAGAATTATAAGAGTTATCTCTTCTTCTTCTAATTATACTAATTACTTATATATTAAAATTAATAAATTTATATAAATTTATTATAAAATTTATTATTAAGTTATAATATTACTATTTTTATTATATATTAGAAATTTCTAATTTTAAGCTTCTTTTATAATAAAGTCTATCTCTTTTTTTTTAATATAATTAAATTTATTAGCGAATTACTCTTTAAATCTATTAGTTAATTATTTTTAAAACTTTATAATTAATTACTTCTAAAACTTTCTAATTAACTATCTCTAAAACTTTCTAGCTAATTACTTCTAAAACTTTCTAATTAAATATCTCTAGAATTTTCTAATTAATTACTTTAAAAACTTTTTAGCTAAGTATCTCTAGAACTTTCTAATTAACTACTTCGAGAACTTTCTAATTTATTACTTTTAAAACCTTTTAACTAATTTAATATTTTTTTAAAATTAAGAAATTAAGTAGCTAGTTAAGAGTTTATTAATAAAAATTCTTAATTAAAAATATTTATATTTATTACTATATCTTTTTAAATATAAGTATAAAATAAATAATATTTTAAAAGTAAGCGATTTAATTAATATTCTAATTATCTTTCTAATAATTCTTTAAAAGAGAAAATGCGTATAGAAAATCGAAAGTATAAAATAAAATCTTAAAAAAGATAAATTTATCTTATAGAATTCTTAAATCTAAATTTTTAGAAGTTTAAAATAGATATTTATTATTATATAAAAGCTAAAAAAAGTTTATTATCGATAATAATCCTTAACTATTCTAATTAGATTATTAAATTTAAAAAAATTTAATTAAAATCTAGCTTTATAATATTAAAAATTAATATTAAATTTTTTTATAAATAAGATTTTAAAAAAACGCGAAAACGCGTTAATAAATTAGCCTATTTTTTTATTAACGCATTCTTAAATTTTCTTATATTCTAGTTTTTTCTAATACTTTTTTTAATTATATTATCTTTTATAATAATATAATTCTATTTAAATTTTCTTATTATTTTTATTATAATACTAATATACTCTTTATAATATATTCTTTAATATCTTATAATAAGCTTTTTATATAAAAATTATTATTATAACTATTTTAAATAAGAGTTTAATTAAATAATAAATTTATATATTTTCTATTATTTCTTAATATTATAAAAATTAATATTATTAATAAAGATAATAACTTTAATTCGCTTTATTATATTATCTTTAAAGAAATAAAAATATTCTAAAAGCTTAAGTAATAGTAAGATATAAAAAATAGTAGATAAATATTTTAAAAATAAGAATATAGTAAAATCGCGTTAGTATTTAATAAGTTTAAATATATATAAATTATTAAAAGTAATTTTAAAAAAATAAAATAATATAAATATAATAGCGAAATAAATAGCTAAAAAAAAACTTCTAACTTTCTTAAAATATTAAAAAATTATTTTTAAAAAAAAGAAGAAAATAAAAGAGAGAATTATCGAATATATTATATATAATTAATATATTTATTATAAATTCTAATTATTATTATAATTATTTTAATATCTTTTTAATATTATAACTAGTATTTATATATAATATTTT